CGAAGTGTCCTGCAGTGGTCCGAAACCCTGGGGTGCTCACGTGTCAGGCCTCTGGCCCTGCTGTTGTCTCAGAGGTGGGACAGAAAAAACCCTCCACTCAATACCGTCGAGGGAGGGAGGGAGGAATTAGCATCCAGTACAGTATCGAGACTTAGGGGTCAGGGTCAGGGTATGGCCCTGGTTGCCGGGGTGCTTGAGGGGGGGCCCAATGGGGCCAGTAGCATTGACACTTTCCAAGTTCCATGCCAGTCTGGCTCACAAGGCCTTACAGTGCTAGGCATCTGTTATGTGTGACATTTGAAAATGTTCCTCAGGAATATGAGTGCAACTGGTTTCAGTTAATCACCTGCATGAGTTCTTTGAGCAACTTACATGAACACTGCCCTAAAGTGACTGTTTCATTAAACATAGCCCTTTTGTGGTGTCACTGGTTACATTTACTATCACAAAGCTTTGTTTGAACGACTTTGCATGGACGTGAGGACAGTTCCGACAGCCCCACTGACTTCCTAGACCTTGTCCCTCCAGTGATCTCTGCTTTCTCCTCCCATGAAGATACACCTTTTGTAAAGAAGAGGTACATATACATTGTGCAATATTACTCAGACACAGTAAAGAATGAAATCTTATTATCTGAGCAAAATGGATGAACCAAGGGGATATTATGCTCGGTGAACTATGTCAAACACAGGAAGGCCAATACCATAAGATTTCATTTCTCTGTGGAATCTAAAAGACAAAATACATGAACAAACAAAACCAAAAGCAACTCAGAGAGGTCCAACTAATTGTCACACGGGTTGGAGTTTGGGAGGCTGGTGCGAAAGGTGAAGGAATTAAGAAGGACAAATTGGTACTTACAAAATAGAGATGGGGATGTAAAGCGCACCATAGGGAATATAGCCAATGTTATTGTACAAATTGTGTGTGGTGGCGGGTGGGCAGTAGAGTTCATAAATTATATAAGTGTCCAACTACTATGCTGTATACCTGAAACTAGTGTAATATGGAGTTCCAAGTATAATGGAAAACATTACTGTTGTTTAAAAAGGCATATTTTCTTGTTGAATCGAACTAAGCAGCCAAGGAAGAGACAGATAAAAGTGGTGGTTAATAAGATGGATCAGACTCGGGCACTGTTCTTGTTGAGAAGTTTGCTTTAATTATTTTGTGATTTGCCAGCATAATATAGACTATTTTGCAGATCGAGAACATAATAGCATTGCATTATGTTGATATTTGCCTGGGAACGAAATAGGAGTTTCATCAAGTTCATTGGAGGTGTCAGGAGAATTGATACCTGAGAGTAGTTGTGGGAACATATTTAAATCAAAAAATCTGAAAGAGCTCACCTTCAGATGATGCGCCACACCAACTACTGTTCGGCATTAGTGCAGGTTCAATGTACAGAATTGGATCGTGTATTTTTTGGTCTGGAGAGAAACTTCGCAGGTCCTCTACAGAACTCAAAGAGAAATGCATTGCAATGAGGTGCTCACGCAAAACTGAAAAATTCTATAGGTAGTAGTACTGATGGTCTCCATCGGAGGAAAAAGATGAAGTGTAAGACGCTGAGCACGAAGTACATTGTTGATTGTATGTTTATTTTCTATGACGTCATGGATTCCTTCATTGAAGCGTTTATCCACTTATAATTTCTTACATTCTTGAAACTCATTTTCATTCTTCAGTTACACCTGACATGTAATGGATTATATATTTATTAGCAATCCTCGACTTTATTACCAAAATGCTTTATAGCGTATACGCCTTGTTCTTTTTCCTCACAGTTAAGTGTCGGAATCACTCCAAATGAAGTGCTAAGAAGAGAGAAAATTCAGAGCAGGATGTATAATCATCTCTCATTTGTGAAGGGGGAAAAGATCAATACATATAATATGCACTTATATGTCTCTGGAATTTTATTCAAGAAGGTGCTGTGTGAAGCTGAGATATCAGAGGATCTTCCGCTGTACTGCTGAAAACTTTTATCATGAATATGTTCTATTAAAATTTTTCTTCGATTTTGAAAAAAATGTCTGGATTTTGAGGAACTTCTGCATTTAATGTCCCAAAAAACGCAGGCGCAGATTGCTTTTGACCCAAAGGTGTGTAACTGACCAAAATTCAGCAATCTGGTCTGGAAAAATGAAAACGAAGAATTCTGCTGTTGGTGAGATTAATACATAGGTAGAGAGGCAGGTGAGAAATCTAAACTACTTGGCCTTTCTCTCTATGATTTAAGTACTGAAAAAATATCACTGTTATCATTCCCAGAAAGCCATGCATTTACAAATGGAAATCAGAATATGATGGGAAAAGACCCGGTTAGGAGTTACCCATTAGGGAACAAAATGGGTACGTGTGATAGCTACCCACTGTCATGGTGAGGGCCCTGCGTTGCACTTATTGTCCCAAAATGTATTGTGCTGGAGCCTACACAGCAAACATTCCAATTTCTCCTGACGCCTTCTCAATGAGAACGACGGAGGTGTAGCTACAGGGATGTGCCTGTGGAACAACACAGGATGAGATCTTTCAACAGTTTCCAAAGCTATCTTTTTGCAATAGTGTTCTATGAGATTTGGTAGAAAAGGGACCTCATGATTAGAATGTTTTGGAAATGCTGAACATATTATCCCCGTGTTATAGGTCTACAAAGAATGTTTCTTGAATCAAAGACCTACAATTCCTAGACAATAACTAGAAAGCTACACCAGAAATCCCACTAAGTTGATTAATACAAACCTGTCTGTGTGTGTGTGTGAATTCGTTTGTGTGTGTGTGTGTGTGTGTGTGTGTGTGTGTGTGAATTCGTTTTTTACTGAACACCTGCTACTATTCTGTGGCAGTGCCTGATACTGAACACAGTCTTGGAAAGGCTGGTCTAAAAATTAGAGACCTGCAAATTAAGATGAAAACACTTTCAGGTGAGGAGGGAGGACTGTGGTAGCAGCCTTCATCAGTCTCTGTTTCCATCCAGGCAATTATTTACTTTTATCCTTCACACCCTTTCATCTTTACTTTTTTTTTTTTTTTTACAGAGGAACCTGTACTAGGGACAAAGAGAAAACTGGCATCTACTACTCTAGAGTAGGTGTGTTCTGTAAACAGTGACAGCATAGCCTGGTAAAATTGTGCTGATTATAAGGACACATATTAGCTTAGGCTCTCTTGGTAGCAAGGGACAAATACTAAATTAGAGTTGGATACTTGAAACCTCCGGGCAGATATACAACCAGGCTCAGCAAAGGTCTGGAATGCAGCTGCTTCATATCTGATAATGCAGTCACTGAACTGGTTTTCAACAAAGGGTGTCTTCCCTAAGCAGACATTTTCAGAATCTAGTCCGGAGATTCAAAAGGAACTGTGGTGCTGAAAATATATATGAACTTTTATGCATGATATATACTATGTAAAAACGAAGGATAGAAAACACACGTAAGTGGCTGTTTTCTAACTGCAATGTGCAACCCAGGCCTTGGTGACTATGGGAAGTCACTCCTCTGTCTCTGGGGAAGCCAGCCTGAGGCTCACTTGCCATTATCACTCTTGCCCAGTGTTAGCTTATCAAGGGTACTCTACCCTTAGGAATTCCAACATCGCCATCTGACTACCCAGACTTAACTATTCCCTTTTGCATGATTTAATGAACATAAACATTTCAGGTAAAGCTGATTATCCCTTTATTTTAACCTCTGCCCGACACCATTCTTCACTACTTCCTTAGAGGCAAGGAGTCTCATGGCTTTCATACTGTTTTTAGTATACTTGTACCGTGCACATGAATCCAGCTTAACCAGGGCCCTGTCGGACCTCACCCTCACGTACCTATATTGTTTATAAGGGGAGATTGATTCTGCCTTTCCCAGGGTCCCACACACTACATGCTCCCTCCATCCAAGATCCCCCACACAATGCCTCTCCCTCCACCCAGGGTCCAGGGAATACCACTTCCTTCCATCCAGGGTCCAAGCAACAAGCCCTCCCTCCAACTAGGGCACAGGGGGGCAACCACAAGTCCTGTGGGCTTAATCCGGCCCTCGACCTCCTTTCTCTCCGTTCTGTTGCCATGTTTCTTCCCTGCAGCTGCACTGAGCTCTGGCTTAACAGTTAAGAAGTAGTTACATTTCTAGAGTCCCAAAATTATGTGCGGCCCTTTCAAGGCAACCATGAGTCTCGTGTGGCCCCCGGTGAAAACGAGCGTGATAGCCCTGAACTAGGGTCACACAGACTACCCCCTCCCTCCAAGGTCCCACGGTGTACCCATTCCCTCCATCCAGGGTCCTGGGAATACCACTTCCCTCCATTCAGGGCCACCAGGATACTCCCTCCCTGGATCCAGGGTCCAGGGCATAGCCTTCACTCTATAAAGCAGGAAGGGTATACCTCCTCCCTGCATCCAGGTTCCCACACAAACCTCTCCCCTCTGTCCAGAGCTGCGCGGTATGCCTCCTCCCTCCATCCAGAGCTTCAGGGAATACCTTGTCTGTCCATCCAGAATCCCACGGAATACCTTCTCCCTCCATCCATTCAGGGTCCCAAGAAATGCCCCTCCCTCCATCCAGAGTCCAGGAATTACCTCCATCATCCATCCAGGGTACCAGGGGATAAGTCCATCCTTCATTCAGGGCCCAGGGAACATGCCGACCCTCCATCCAGAATCCATGGAATACCTCCTTCCATCCAGGCGCTCTTGAGGTCCCCACCCCCACACCCGCACCCATGGAGATCCCAAGCTGCACATGATGGGGCATGCGTGAGTGAAGAGACACCTGCACACTTATTTGGAAGCTTAAAAGGTGACAGTTTTCCACACACAAACCAATGAAACACTTTTAATTATTTAGCAACCAATAACTTTAGGAAGTAAGGATAACACTCGGACTTAAAAACTTAACAGAACGTTTCATAGGTCAATATGGCAAGAGGCATGCTTGGCACCCTGACCAGGGCAAGTCAGGCCCCCCGTGGCTGGCTATGGGGAAGGCAGTCCCCGCTCAGTTCTTGCTGTCCTTCAGAGTAAGCTTGTCAAAGAGGGACTCTGCCAGGCTATCTTCCGGGGTCCCCAGCTTGCGCAGGTTGGTGATGTGCTCCCCCAACTCTTGGATGAACATGGCTTGTTCACGCAGGTAGTCACACTCCAGGAAGTGGAAGACCTTGCCATGCTTCTCAGTGACCAGCTGGTACAGATTCAGCAGGCTCTGGTGGACTCCTTTCGCCAGGTGCAAGGCGCGCTCCATGACCCTCAGGCCATTCTCCCAGTTCTCTTCCTCAGGCCTGGGGATGTTCCACAGGCGGGGGTTGCCAGCACGCCGGTTCTGCAGCCCCAACAGGTAATCTGCAAGCTCCACCTCCTTCTTTGACTGCCGAAGGAAGAACAGGCTGAAGTGCTTCAAGGCCGCGTCTCCACGGTCGAAGTAGCAGGCCATGGACATGTACACGTAGGAAGCGTGCAGCTCCAAGTTGACCTGGTTGTTGATGGCGGCCTCACACTCCAGGTGGCAGTTCTGACTCACGTGGCAGGGCGCGAATGCGGTAGCCATGTCTTGTAGCGCAGGTGCGGGGTGGGGGCACCAAAGTGAAGAAATCCTGGAAGCGGGAGCTGGAGTTGCGGGGGTAGCCTCCGAGAGTCTCCTGGGTGAGTGAGCAGCACCGCAGAGGGGTGGTGCTCCAGCGTCTGCAGCAGGCGACTGGTGGTTGGCTCTGAGATGGAACCGGAAAGGGGAAGGTGGGACCAATTCTCAGGAGTGCTCAGGAGAGGGCGCAAGGAGGATGCCGCGGGGGCCAGTGGGAGTGGCAAAGGGACTTTCTAGGGCGGAGTTGGGGGGGCAGGAAGTGGGCAGTACAAAGGAGGCATGTTCCAGGTTCCATCACAGCCTGGGTGAGGCGGGGGAGAATCTGTTCTGACCTCTTAGCATTTAATGTTTGCAATTTTGCATTAATATATCTGTGTTGCAAGAACTTTATCTTTCCTCTAATTCCTTCTATAGAAGGCATTTCCAGTGTGTAAACCCATTTTCCTCCCTTATACTTCTGAGAATACGAATTTGAATTTTTGGTACAGTTCTCTCCTGTTTCTGTGTTATATCTGGGTTCCCACTGCCCAGAATTAGTTCTGTGCGTTCCTTGTCTTTTTTTCTTTAATCTTCCTCATACATTTGGCAACCCTGTGAGTTAGGCATAAAGGACTTATGGGGTCAAAGCAGGGAATGAGCAGGGGTCTGATCCTCTGATCTGGGGTTGTGAGGTGCATTTCACTGCAGGGCTTCTGCTGTAAGGGAAGGCTGGAGTGTGCTGAGTTACTCAGTGGGTTTTCCTTTGAGGATACATGGCGTGGCTTATAGGTAGGAAAGGGGCAGTCTTTGTGGACAAACAAATACGATATTTCTGACAGGGGGAGAGTAATACATTTTTCTTCTAGGTAGATGTGTCCTATTGTTTCCCTTCTCTGCAGATCTGCAATTGTCTTACGTTCATTTGCTGTCTTTGCAGTGTAGTTTGGGGTGAGGAAAGCTGCCAGATACCACAGTTGTATAAAATTCTCTTGTGTAGACATCCTGTCCAGGGCTTTTGTTTATTGGGTGTTTTTTTTTTTTTTAAATTTAGTGACATCTTTGATTTCCTTAGTTGTAAGTCATCTGCTAAAATTTCCAGTTTCTTCCTCATTCAGCTTCGGAACATTGTATGTTTCTCAAAATTCATTTATTTCTTTCAGGTTGTCTAATCTTTTGGCAGATACTCGTTCATGATAGTTTCTTTTGCTGTTTGCAAACCTGAAACACAGATATAATTGTATCAGCCTCATCCCACTAGTGGGTAGGTGATCAGTGCCCACTGTGGGTAAATAACACCTACTGTGCATGAATGAGTCCACACAGGAGGGCAGGCACCGCTGTCTTCAGAAAGAGCTCTGGGAGAGGTTGGGCCTTGGGCCTGCTATCTGGGATCTTCGATTTCAGGAGTGTTCGAACCTCTCCTAATTGATAAGAGTGTCATTGTGCCCAGAGTGGGTAAACAAAAGAATTTACACTGAACACAAGTTTTGTTTCTGTGTGTATGAATTCCTGGTACTTGCTAAGCCAAGGGTGCCTACACACCCTGCTCTCGATACAAACTAGAGCCCTGGGTCTATAATGGCCTCACAGTTATCTACATGGTGGTTCCATTGGAGGTCCGTGGGCATCTCCGGTTTTACATAATATGGCAGTCCCACCACTGGACGAACATCCTCAAATTAATAAACAGTGCTACCATCCCGCAGGTATTCAATTCTAATCACCAGAACCTAGAGTATTTTCCTCATCTCTCACTCTTCACCTCTGGCCCATAAGCAGAGCTCATTGGCTCATTCAATCCATGTGCATTTTGCCCACATCTCTTCCTTTTCTCAGTCACCACTGTAGTTCAACCCCCATCGCCTTTCACCTGGACCAGCCACAACATCTCCTAACTGGCCTCCCAGCTTCAGCTCTTCCCCTCCCTCTACATTCTTGAAAGCACTGAGTCACTCATAACCTGCAGAGGGATTTATGCTAGTTCATATTCCCTACCAGGAAGTTGACTTTCAGCCTTGTCTTTGTGCTTTTCAGTCCTATGGAGCTATTTCAAGTTTGATGGATCATGTTGTGCTAATGGAAGAAAGAGGACAACTGAAGCAAAAAACTGTATTAGCATGTTTTGAAAGGGTAATATGCATGACCAGCATGGGACCATGGGGAGACATTCCCATGTGTCTGGGAAAGCCAGCCTAAGTTTACGCAACCATTGCAGTTGCTCAGTGAGTGCTTGTGGAAGTGATACTCTATAGGGAACCATTCGGTGTGCTGTTAGGAATGTAGCCCAGCCTCACTGTCGAAAAATCCAGTGGGAAGTGGGTCAACACACCAGACCCAGGCCCACGGATAGGTTCTCCCATGGGGAATCAGGCCTGCATTGTATCCACGCTGCCATGAGTCTTGCTTTTGCTAAACTCCCTCACCTTGAATTGAGACAGAAAATGTCTACTGCCTGTCTTTAAAGTGACTTTCTAAAGGGTTTGCTAAATGTCCCAAGCATGGAATGTAACCAGTTCAACCACTTTTCCCCTTGTTCTGCCACATCCTTCTCTTTGAAGGAGTTAGGAACATTCTTTCCCTTGTTATCTGTAAAAGGCAATCACGTACAAGGAACCTGTACATAGTAAAGGAGGACCATGCTGGATGGAATGTACCCAGAAAAGAAATAAAATCAAGTCTAGGCAGGGGTCCAGGCCTTCTCTCTCACTGCGAGATTGGCCACGCAGTCCCTTTTCCTGCACAGGACCTCTGTGCAGGAAATTGTCCACGTGAATTTGTTCCTCACAGCCACAACACAGGGACCCTGTGGGCCAGGGTAGGCATCAGTATTCTGCCAAGATGGCTTCTGGGGTCTTCATCTTGCTACACAGGTATTCTTAAGAAACGTGAACATTTGGGTACTGTAGTCAACTAAAAATCTTCAGGTAAAATGTCAGAACCCTCTACTTCTTGCCCAAACTCACTCTCCTTATTGTTTCTCCAGAGACAAGCACAGCAAAAATTTGAAGGCCAGGCTTTGTATTTTGAGCATGGACATGCATCTATTTTCACCAGGGCCAAAGGCTATGCAGCTAACAGCCCTGTGCCATATACCACAAGGTTTCTGATGAGAAGATAAATTCTGCATTTTCCAGGGTCCCGAGGAAAACCCTCTCGCTGCATTCAGGACTCAGGACATACCTAGTCTGTCCATTCAGGGTCCAGGGAATTCATGCTCCCTCCATTCACGATGAGGAAATACCCCTTCCCTCCATGTATCGTCCGGGGCATACCCATACACTCCATCCAGGGTCCACTGAATACCTCCTCCATGCATTCAGGTTTCAGGGGATACAACCTTCCTCAATACAGGTACCACACGATAGGTCCTCCCCCCATCCAGGGTCTTACCAAAAGCCCAATGCCCCTCCAGACTTCAGTGAATACCCAGGCCAACCATGCAGGGACCTAGGTATATTCATTCTCTCCCCCCATCTAGTGTCCAAGGAATACCTCTTCACTTCATTCAGGGCCCAGGTAAAGCACCCTCCATCCATCTGAGATCCAGGGAATATCCCTCTGTCCAACCTGTGTTCAATAGTATGCCCTTGCCTCCATCCAAGACGCAGGAACTATCCTCTACCCCCAAACTGGGGACCAGGGAATGACCCACACTCCTCTAGGGTTCAAGAAATATACCCTCCCTCCAATCACAGCCCAGGGAATTTCCTTTCTTCCATAAAGTGTTCAGGGAATAACCCCACCCTGCCTCGAGGTTCCAGAAAATATTGCTCCATCCTTCCAGGGTCTCAGGGATACACCTTCTTCCCTCCAGGTTCCAGGACCTCCCCTCTCCCACCCACCATTTTCCCTGGGCTCTCTCCCAGAGTCTAGGGAATAACCCCTCTCTCATTCCAGAGTGCAGAGAATTACCCTCCCTTTCATGAAAGTTCCATGAAATGTAAGCTCCCTCAATCCAGGGTCAAAAGAATAGTCCCATCCTCCAAGTTTCAGGAAATACCCCTCCCTCCCTCCCTCCCTCCCTCCCTCCCTCCCTCCCTCCCTCCCTCCCTCCCCCCAGGACCAGGGAATACCTCCTCCCTGCATCCAGGGACTTAGTAACACCATCTCCCTCCATCAAGCTTTCCAGAGAACCCCCTCTCTCCATCCAGGGTCCCAGAGAATGTCACCCCCACTGAGCCTGGGTTTACTTCTACCTTCCATTAAGGTCCAGGGTATAGTCCCCTCACTCCTACCCATTTCCTAGGGAATGCCCTCCCTCCATACATGGCCCAGGAAATGCATTCTGCTTCCATTCAGGGTCCATGGAACATGACCTCACTTCACCCTGGGTCCAGGTAATATTCTCTCACTCCATCCTGGGACCCCAAGGAATGCCCCTCCATCATCCAGTATCCCACTGGATAGCCCCAACCTCCCCTGGGGTTCAGGGAATACCACATAATTCCATCCGGGACAAGGGCATACTTCCTCCCTCAATCCAGGGCCAAGAAAATACAATCTCCCTCCATCCAGGGTCCAGGGAATACTCCACCCACAAGACTAGTTCCCACGGAATGCTCCTCACTCCATTCAAGGCCCAGGAAATAACTCTCCCCTCCACTTAAGCCCATGGAATAACCTGTCTCTCCATCTGGGGCCCAGAGAATACCTCCTGCCTCCATCCAAGGCCCGAAGAATACCTTCTTTCTCATCCAGTATCCCAGTCAACCTGCTCCCTATATCCAGGGTCCAGGTAATGGCTGCTTCCTCCACCCAGAACCCACAAAATACCTCCTTCCTCGCTTTAGGGCCCAGGGAACACTATATCACCCTATCCAGGGTCCCAGTATACCCCCTGACTCCAGGCATTACCCCTCACAATATCCCATCCTCCTCTAGGGATCAGGGACTATCTCCTCCCTCAATCCATGGTCCGAGAAATAGTCCCTCCCACCTCCCAGGGTCCAAAAACAGCTCCTCCCACCAATCCGGGCCCAGGAAATACT